TTTTAGAAGGAAGAGGAAGGAGAGGCGGGAGTTTGCAAACACGCGAGCTACGCCAGGACTCGCAGCTTTTTCCCCTCGCGTAAACCGCTTTCTTTCGTTCCACGATTTTTCGTCTAACTTTTTTGAGAATCGTGCGAATCGAGGTACGTGGTATCGACAATGCATCGACTACCTCAGTGCCAAAAAAAAAAGAACCGTGTAAAAATTGCCTCGAACTCGAACTCGTCGGTTTATTAACGAACTTAAGAGAGAGATTCGTTTCGATAGTCGACTGCCGACCGAACTGTCCGTCGAATTTCTCGTGCTCGAGCGCGTTTTCAATCGAGCGCGAGTCGATCGATCGTTTAGAGCGGTTAATAGTCATAAACATTCACAGGCAAGTCATCGCACTAATGTTATAAACGTTCCAATCCAAGCAAGGTAAACGTGTGAATAAACGTGTGGACGTGGTCAAATTTCAACACGTAATCGGCTAACTATCGACTAAGGTAAAAGAACGAAAAAAAAAAAAAAAAAAACAGTAAGTAAAAACATCGAGAATCGTGAAAGGAGAGAGAGGGGGGAGGAGGGAGATTGGATTGAAAGAAAGAAGAAAAAAAAAAAGAAGGGGGAGAGGGAGCTGATGCGAACATGCTTCAATACGATCTAATAATTAAGAGGGAAATTACGTGTTCAATTACGGCGGAGAAGCACATTGAAAGAAAGACAATCAACATCGATAAAGAGGGTCTGGTCTGGTCTGGTCTGGTCTGATTTGCGAACGAACGTCACCACACTTGCCTTCGCCGATTGTTCGTCGTTGCTTGTCGCAAAAAAAAAAAAAAAAAGAAAAAAGGAAACACGCTCTTTTCTCGTACAAGGTTCCTTCGGGACCCTTGAATTTAAAGGGGGTTTCTTCGACAATCGTGCCCTCAGTCAGTGTTTTTCAAACTGTACGCTTTAGCGAGCCATTATTCGCCCTGCTGGATCAAATTATTTTACTTGCTCGAAAGAGAGTTTTCCTCTTCTTTCCCTTGAAAGATTATCTGAATTTTCCGAATTGTTTGGTACCTGGGAGACAGCGGGAGTGTTTGAAAAACACTGAGAATAATAGTGAACGGAGCGTAAATTAGTACATGCTGTGAAACTCATGTAAGCACGATGTGCATGCACGAATGACTCACGATTGAGTGAAATCGATTCAATGATAATAGTTTTGAGTTGTAGTTTCAGCATCGAGCCGTTCTTGTTGCTTTCGACAATGTTTCAAATATTGAATAGTCAGATATAAAAATTTATTTTATAAGTATTTTTTTTTTTTTTTATCGAATCTTGTTACTGAACGATTGATTTTGGAGAGGAAGCACTTATCTTTGACAAAAATACATTTGCCGAATTATCAGTCGATAAAGAAATTATTTCGAACAATGAAATTCTGATTTGTCCATTCGTCATGCGAGTATCGATTACACGCCAAATTTCTGGCATGAATAATCGAGCTTCAATTGTGTTTATTCTCCTTTACATATCATCTTTTTCCTTTTTGGTTCGAGTAGAGAGATTTAAAACTGAACAGCGAGACGACAAAGTTGTAAAAGATTAATCGCCGCTGGAACAAACTTGCGGTTTGAGATAACAGCTCCTCGCGAAATAATTTCTGACAATTAATTGAACTTTTAAATAGCTTCTGTAATCAATTCGATTTCTGAATCAAGAAACGAACAACACGAACTTAAGTAACAAACGTTGTTCAACCTTCCAAAGTTCCAAACTGTCAATTTTTAAAATTTCGTCATTTTTACACGTTCAAATTCCAAACTCCAAGTCGTCCAAGTTCCAAAATTTATCGCACTAAAAATTTTTAATTCCTACAATTCTCCAATCTCTCCAATCAATACACGAGTGTTCAGATTTTCAAGTTTTGAACAATCCCGGACTCTCGAAATCGCAAGATTCTATTTTCTTTTTTATGCAATCTCGCGACGTAGAAGATTATCCTAATCGTCTTACTTTCGTTTCACGTGTCAATAAAAGGCAAGCCTACGAGTGAGCAAACGCCTGACGTCGCTCTTCGTTGCCTCGTGTCAGGGACGTGACGATCCAGCGTTCTCTCGTCGATTGGCCGAGAACGTGGGCAACGATCGTGACAACGTGAAGGTATCAGGGAGGTTGATCGAACGTGGTCTGACGCGAAATATGAGAAAACAGTGGCGAGTAGACGAGCTGATGATGAACGAGGAACGAGCAGAGTACTTTGACAGAAAAAAAAAAAATAAAGGGGGTGTTTGCTTTGCTGCCTGAGGTGACTTACCCCTGGACAGTGTCATGCCTAGAGTACGGAATCGCAAGGTAATTGTTGCTGTTTCTCCTTATTCTTTACTTGGCCCGACTTGCATGCTGTCCTATCGGTAGCGGCACAACACACAAGACATTTGTATACATACAAATATAGAGATGTAAAAATAAGAGACATGTATAGTTTTACGATGGAGTACAGCTAGCAAAGATCGTTTGCCTTCTACACACGTACAGCCGTATTATTTCATCGGAATATCTAGCTCTAGTTTCCTTGTTCGAGGATCGTTTTCCTTTCTTTCTCTGGACTTTTTTCTTTCATAAACGTTTTATGTCAATTCAACACTCGATAGCAACTGTTTGTTATTTCGATAAATGTGACGAAACATATATATATATATATATATTAAACATATATTATTTATTTATATATATATAAAATATAATATATTATAATATATTTTATAATATATATTTATAAATATATATATTAAACATATATCGTATATTTATATATATATTAAATATAATATAATATATTATAATATATTTATAATATATATTTATAAAATTAATATATATATATATCAAAAATATATATATATATACATATGTAAACATACATTATGCGTACAATAAGGATGCTATGCTTTCTGTTATATACGGAGGATTGCTTCAAAATTTGACTTGTTATATAACCCTCATCCGTCCTTCGCGCGTCAATTTGACACACTTTTCTTAGCAAAAAAAAAAAAACCATGGTGTAAAATTGAATACCTATATCCGAGAGCAGATTACACAATTGGATAGAAATTTAATCAGAGAATTTGCAAGTTTAATCATTTCATCGTAGGGTTAATTTTTCAACACTGCGTGAGCACCAAGGGAGAAGTCAAGTTTAAGAAAAATGAGGAACGGATGAGAGGTAATTGTTACTTGTCTAAAAATGCCTCTAATTATTCATCGATACAAAAGAATAACATAAGATTCGATTTTATCCTACTTGTTTGCGAGTGATTAATTCCAGCTTTTCTTCAAGTCTATGCATCGCTCGTTTGTTGTTACGTTTCTGTACTATTATTTCCGAAATAATCAAAGTGACAAAAGTACACGAAAACTTGCCAAAAAGGGATGGGGGATCGCGTAGTGTTCGGACGCAAGAAAGAAAAAAAAAAAAAAAAAAAGAAGAAGAAGGAAATACACGTCGTGTAAATCGTTGGAAGAAAATAAACAGATACTCACCTGCGAAGCACCAGCGTCCAGTCGCGCGAGCAAAAATTAGTATGAAAACGATGAGAAGTAGCACCAGGGCTCCGACGACGATGCCGATGATAGAGCCAGCATCTAAATCGACGCCTGAAAATTTCGTAGAAAGCCACAATGACGTTTGTTGTTCACCGTTCCTTCTGTCATTTAACAAGCAAGTTAAAACTAATCTCGAGAATCTCGTCTAGTGTTTCTTTAAAACGCTTCGAGTTTACGGACACGAGAATAATTCAAATTACACGTCACACAGAGAGATGTCAGAAGATATTGAATTATAGAAACCATGCGCATTTCTATTGATCGAGAGAAGAAAATTAAAAGAAATCAGAGAAAGCCAGCTGAACGAAGCAAGTCTTCAATCTTCAAGACACAGTCGAATTGGACGTCCGTCAGGATAAAAGAAAAAAAAAAAGAAAAGAAAAGTCAAAGTGTCATCGTGTCTTGTCATAATATCCGCGTTATATCGGTAACGAACAAAAGCGCAGCGCTGAATCAAAAAAAAAAAAAGAAAAAGAAAAAATATACATAACGTAACAAGAGTCAACAAGCACTCTCGAAGCCTTTGCGCACACACCGAGCCACGTCTAGTTGAAATTCTGTGATTCTGATGCAGAAAAATGTGCAAAGAACATGTCGGCGCCGCGAGATTCGTATTCGAGGGAAAAGAAAAAAAAAAAAAAAAAGGAAGCGTCGATTCGTGTACAGAGGCGATCGCACAGAAATTTAGTCGCGTTTCGAAATTTATTCGAAAAATAACAGATCTGCCATTCATGTTTGCAGCGGTGTCAATAACAAACGTAACGTAACGTCACACATGTAAACCGGTGTCCCGTTAGCGCCGAGTTCCATTTACGTGATTCTCTTCTCGCGTGTCCACCCCGCTTTCGGCGACTTTCGCGCAAATTGATGACACGGTTGGGAAAAATCGCGGCGCGGTACGAAAGAAAGGGAGGGAAAAAAGAAAAAATCAACAAACAAAAAAAAAAAAATAAATAAATCGCCGGCGCCACAGTTTCCGCCGGATCTTTAAACAAACAAGAGAGATAACATTTTTTTTCGGGGGGAGGCAAACATCCGGTTCGGCGGATTAACAAAAACAGAAAAAGAGAGAGAGAGAGAGAGTCGTCCGCGATTTTTCCACGTGTCGAAACTTTCGGCAAAATATCGGCGCGTTGTTTATCAACAATTTCTTTCCCTTTTGGTTACTCTCGAACGGCGGCGTTCGTGCGTGTGTATGTTTTTTCTCTTTATTCGAAGTGCACGCGCGTCGATCAAATGGATTTGACGGAAACGAGAAAGGAGAAAAAAAAAAAAAAAAAAAACACAGTCGTAGCGACATTGGTAACGTTATCAATTGGGAGACGGGACACGCCTCTCCCAATCCGTCATTTTTTTCATGGAACTCCGCGCGCGCCGAGAGCTAACATCGACTACTTACGTATAATAATTTGAAAGAATGACATTACCTAGTGCGTGCATGTGTTCGGAGAGCTTACCATAGAAGTGACCGAACGGCCCTGCGTGAAAGCATGCGGTGAAGGATTGATATGGTTAGAAACACACAGCGCATACGGACACACGCAATTGTGGGTGGGAGGGAAGGAAAAAGAACACGCAAGAATACACTAATTGATCGGTGTAATTGAAAAGGTAATGACGGGCATTGCGCGTGAAAATGACGTGAATAGATTTTGGGACGGTGAAGTATGCTCGATTTCGACGAAACGATGGCGACGTACATCCAAGTGTGAAAACTAACAGCGTGATCGACAGCTACCGGCCGAATTTCAAATCAGTTTTATTGTCTTTCTCCCAAGCGGCGAATATCGGACGATCGTTACTCACCCACGACGACGCGAATCAAAATGAATTACGTCGCCTTTCAGACACGTTTTTTTTTTTTTCCTCTCGCCTACTTTCAATCTTCGATCATGCATATTTCATTTTTTTCCGATATTTAAATCTATTATTTCACGAAACTCGCAAAATTCAACTTTTTTTTTTTCTCTTCTCCCCTCTTGTCTGTTCTTTCTCCTTCTTTTTTTCTTTCTTTCTCATTTTTCGAGATCTTTTTTTCCTCTACGCTTTTCATTTTGATGTTAATGAAAGTTTGATGTGATTTTCGACAGGCTACTTTTGGTGCACGGTGGGGTCGAGTGATTTTTTTTTTTTTTTGACGATAATCAAACTCTGAGTGGTTTCGGCGGTTCTTTTGTTTTTTTCTTTCTCTTTACCTGCGGGTTCTGTGGCTGTCGACAAAATGATACGATATTCGTAAGCCCCTTCGCCGTTACGGGCTTCCAGGACGTAGTCCTTCTCCGTGTCGGACTTTTGTACGCTGTCGATCGTTAGAATCACGCTCCACGCTCCTCTTCCCTGTGAACAAAGAAAAAAATAAAAAATAAAAATAAAAATAGCAATTTCTTTCTTCCGAATTTTTGTTGACGAAACAAACAGTAGAATGCAAACGCATTTTAGCTGTGAACTTTGGGAAATTTTGAGCTAAAGTAGATTCAGTGAAAAAAAAAAAGGGATGTTGGACGTTTTAAAGCGGTATTCTAGAGTGAAGTACGTGTTTTTTTAACCTTGTTAGGGAATTTCTTGCAAGGAAACTATTTTGCCGTCAAGTTCATACACAGGTATATTTAAAATGTATTTTCCAGAGATGTATTTTTTGAAACTATATTCCTTTAAGAATATGCAAAGAGTTCACACTAGTGTGAAGTTAGGGAATTTCTTGCAAAGAAACTATTATACCTTTTGCAGTCAAATTCATACACAGGTATATTTAAAATGTATTTTCCAGAGATGTATTTTTTGAAACTATATTCCTTTAAGAACATGCAAAGAGGTCACACTAGAATACCCCCTTAATAGAATCAATATTCTTTCGCTTTTCGAAACGACCACACAGGCCAGTGGTGCTTCTCGCATTTGAACGACGCTTTAATTTCACCGACTGATATCCCACGTACTTCGATGAATTTTAATTCGATCGTACTAATATTACGAGTACACACCGCGGAATGTTTAATATCGCCGTTACGTTGCGATCACTTTTTCCGCTTGCTGTGAAGAGCTTCCCGTGAAAATATCATCTCGACGATACACTTTATCTAAATACAAAATCTTTCAGCTCCTCTCTCGCTGCTTTCAATTATCTCGACAACAGAAACAGAAGATCTCCGGTTTCGTTCGATCGTTTTCTTCAAACGAACCGCGCGATTCAACGTTTTCCATTATTTCATCCCTCTCTTTTCCTCTCTCGTGGATAACAGGTCAACTTTCGACGCCGATAGTCGAATTATTTCGCGCGATTTCACCGAAGTGAATTGTAGCATTCGAATCGGGCGGAATTTCATTAAGGCTCTTTGATTAGCGGGGGAACTTTGCGAGTCACGCAAATGTATGAAGAAAAAAAAAAAAAAAAGAGGAAAAAGAAAACGCTAAGTGCACCGTGAAAACCGATGCTCTGGAATGCGGAATCTTTGTTCCATTACCTTCGTTTTTATCCCCCTCCGCGCCATTTCACCGTCCACGTTCGTTTGCCCTTCTCGTTGGCCTTTAGAAAGCTCGACTTTAACTCGCTATTAAATTCTACCAGCTTCGATATTTATTCCGTCGTTCCGCCTCGGTCGATAATTCAATTCGTTAACCAATTAATTTCTACGTACTTCGTTTTTACTCGTGCCCTGCCCGTTTCGCTGGCACACGATTCGAAACGTTTTTTTAACGATTGTTCGATCGACGTGTCCCCGAGGAACATCGTGAAAAAGATATTCAGACAGATTTGTAGGACAGGATTTTCACGTTGTGAAAAAGTACGCGCTCGTGGTTCGAGGGAATTGAGAGAAACACAATCGATGAAACCTCTTACCGGCAGAGTCTACCGAACTTCCCAACTAAGAGGGATATTTTATTTATCCGGTAATAGGAACTCGTTCGCAGTGGAGAAACTTTTAAGACAGTCTCATACATGTTGTAGATGCTCGTGCGAGTTCACCTCCTCGATCAAGACGTTCGTTACGTTGAATTATACGTAAAGTGCTTTTGACGATCTGATAGCTTCTAGGTCATCTAGAACATGGTACCTAAATTTTTTATTTCCTTTCTTTTTTTCTTTTTGTACTGTTTAATCTTTCACGTACTGTTCAAATTTTTAACACACTCTGTAATCGTGGTGCAACGAACCGTCGAGTTCCAAGCGAGAATTTCGTTCGTTTAGTTCCTTCAATTTTTGTTTTTATCGCGAAAAGATTTATTTATTAAGACGAAAGTTTCATTTATGTATTAAATTAGAGACTAAAGCAAGCATTTCGGCGTTTTTCCAGATACTTTTAAGCGTGGAACAATAAAAGGAAATTTAGGCGAAGGGATGAAAGATCCATTAACCTCTTGCGCTGGCAACTGGTTCGCGGACCATAACGAGTGACCGAACCGTATACAATAAATCGTCGATTTCTTTTTCTTTTGAACTCGTCGGTATGATCTCACTGGATAGAAATTATAGTAATAAACTTATCACTTGTTTTGCCTGGGTTGCATTTAAATATACTTGGAACTGAGAATATGTTGCAATTTGGAGTAGAAAATTCTCGACGTGCGTGGTACGTCATTCCAGCGCAAGAGGTTAATGTCACTTGCGCTGGCAACTGATTGCGGACCATAACGAGTGACCAAATCGTACACAATAACTCGTCGCTTTCTTTTTCAACTCGTCGGCATAACATCACTGGATAGAAATTATTGAGAAATTTATATACTTATATATTTTAAATTAGAAATTTATATATTTATATACTTTAAATTAGAAATTTATATATTTATATATTTTAAATTAGTAATAAATTTATTATTTGTTTTGTCTATTATTTGTTTCACTTAAATACACTTAAAGCTGAGAAAATATTACAATTTTGAAACAAAATAGTTCTCGACGCGGCAGAGGTTAACAGAAAATCACTGTGTCGACGCTAGAACGAAATCGTTTCGTTTCGAATCGATCGCAATAGCAAAAGAGATAAACTCGATTCGGTAAGAAATGTAATTTGTTTAATTTACCAAATCCGTGGCGGTCGAGGTCTCGAGTCGGTTGCTTTCGTCTGGACGACCCTCGTTGATCACTTCGTTGTTCACTCGCCATAAGAAACGCGGCCTAGGATTTGCGTAAACGGTCACGTTCACGACCCCCTGTCGTCCAATTACGTATCCGAAACGCTCGATGGTTGGCTGCGGTTGAGGAGGATCTATAAAAGGAAATTTCCTCCCTTTAATCGCTCCGAGGGAATCTTTCGGAGATTTCAATATACCTCGCGTCGTTAAGAAATTTCCAGGCTGACTGATAAGAGAAGTTTCGAGCATCTTTGCATGTTCAAGAAAGATTTTTAATTTGCAAAAAAAAAAAAAAAGAAGGAAAACAGGAAATAAATTTATAGCAAACGGACGACCGTACGAGTTTTCAATTCGATTCGAAGTGCTAGCGCGTTTCTAGGTTCTCGACGTTCAAAAGTTATTTCTATCTTCGTTAACAAAAAAAGTTAAGACTTCGTCAAATGGTTTCGTTCATGCGACAATGATGTAATTCAATTTTGTCACAGCGTGATATCAAAAAAATTCCAAGTTCTTGTCGCATGTACACTTGCAGAACATCGGTGAAAAGCGTATTTCATTTTTTTTCAACAAATCTCGAATCACGTCATCATCACGGCGAATGAATTTCGCTTACAGTAGACTTGCAGTTGCATGGTCGTTTCCTTAGGCCGGTCGAGGGCAATGTGGCAGGCGACGCATCGAAGGACCTTGCCATTGTCCGTCCAGTCCAAGATACGGGACGCGTTCTGCACGGCCAGCGAGTTGTCGTCCACGTTCGAGTCGTAAATCGTCGGTCTTTCCTCGTTGCCGATCGGCTCGTCGTCTAGTCGTCGAAACGAAGAGAGAGAGAGAGAGAGAGAGAGAAAAAAAACAGAAGAGAAGTGAGCGTGCGATGCAACATCTCTGGTGAAAGTATTAATTAAAAATTTCTCCTCCTCATCCCGTCGACTAATTACCGAGGAACAAAGAAACGTTGGCCGCTGGTCGTCCGGCTGGCGCGCTACAACTCACTTCCAGTTTTTCCCCTTTTCTGTATATGTTCCTTCCGTCGGACCCTGGACTCGTTTGAAGCTCCGGGTTATTCGGCGGTTCTGAAAATCCAGTTTTCAGGGCATTAGTTGTTCGCTCGCCACGCAAGAACGGCGAGCGAATTTTCGTTAAAATCGCTGGGGGTGTGGGAGGGGTCGAAGTTCGTTAATTCCGCTCCCCCCCCTCCCTCCCCCCGATTCCGAGGAGAAAACCGGCAGATCGGCTTTATTTAAATTCGGTGGAAACATCTCTCTGGCTCTCGATCATGGCCCGCTTTCGTCATTTATCTTTATCGACTTTATCTGAAAACAGTAATTTCCTTTCGCGCTACCACCACCACCCCTTCCCCTTCCCCCTGCTACCCCGTCGCGTAAGCAATTCTCTTAACGAAGATTAATTAGCTCTCGAATTCTCCACCCACACACATACACTCTGACACCGTAATATTTTTCCCCGTACGGGGCGAAGAGTAAGGGGGGAGGTGGATAATACTTTCCTCGGACAACTAACGTCACGAAGTTTCACAGCGATTTTCTCATTAATTTCGAGGCTACGCGTAAAAACGGCGACGATTAATTACGTACAGCGTACGAGTCTTAGGTGTGTACCCTTTTTAATTATGCACCTCGGCGAAAATAAAAAATTGGAAACTTACGCGTGTGCGCAAGCGACTGATATCTTTTTTTCTTTAGGGTTCTTTAGCAGATCTGCGATCGGATATTTAGAGGACTGACTTTGGGATAATATCGACTTTGGAATCGACTGAGGAATTTTTCTATCTCATTTTGGCTCTGATGTGACAGTCGAAATTCTCTTCATTTATTCAGTTCGTGAAAGAAAAATTTGATGTCTACCTTGTAAAAAAAAAAATGAAATGTTTCGCTCGTAACATACGACTATTTCAAACTTAGCTTCATAATAGTACCAGAGAAAGACAACTAGTGTTTTTAGTTCTTAAACTAATTCTATGATGAATTACGAATTATATTTCATTCGTGAATTATGAATGAGAATTACATTTTTATGAGAAAATCGAATATTTCATTCGTGAGTATACATAGCCACTATAGCAAAAAGAGGAAACTAGTTTCTAGCTTCAAATTAAATAATTAATTAATTCTACAATAAATTATCAAATTAAATCCAAATCTCCAAGAGTAAAATAAACATAGAATAATACGTCCATTTCTGTGAGAAATTCAGATATTTCACTCGGAAGAATACACATCCACTGTAGCACAAAAGTAGTATTAAGAAAAAAAGAAACTAGTGTTCCTGATTTTAAATTAATTCTACAATAAATTGATCAAATGAGATACGAACATCGAAGAGTGAAATAAACAGAATAATACGTCCATTTCTGTGAGAAATTCAGATGTTTCACTCGGAAGAATACACATCAACTGTAGCACAAAAGTAGTATTAAGAAAAAAAGAAACTAGTGTTCCTGATTTTAAATTAATTCTACAATAAATTATCAAATTAAATCCAAATCTCCAAGAGTAAAATAAACAGAATGATACGTCCATTTCTGTGAGAAATTCAGATATTTCACTCGGTAGAGTACACATCAACTGTAGCACAAAAGTAGTATTAAGAAAAAAAAGTGTAGCTTAATACAGTAATAGTTCCTCGAGTACGAGTTTCGAACCGATTCGTACAAGCCGCAAGTCTAGCGTCTAACGTCCAAGTCTAGCGATCTTCGATGTTAAGCAGAGTGCAGAACACCGCTAAGATGGATGGATCGTCCAGCCTAGCGAGTAGTATAACAAACGTCTGGGGAAAAAAGGGGTCGCGCTGCCATCAGCCCCACTAATGAGTCTAGGCAACGACGAAACGCACAACCTTTCCTCATCTTACTCATTACTTTTACTCCATTCCATTATCCTCGCACCATCAACACACACAGAACTGTTCAAAAGGGACTAGTGTTCCTGATTTTAAATTAATTCTACAACAAATTGATCAAATGAGATTCGAAGGGTAAAATAAAATAATACGCACTGGCTACGATGATCGTCATGGATGCCTGTGCCTCCGCTCGACTATCGGTGGTCGTGAGAGTGCACTTGAAAACTCCGTCGTGACTCTCCTTGATCTTGGCGATGCGAACGCCACATTGGCCCGCCTCGGTACCTTCGCCATAGTACTCGATACCATCCTCGGGCGGTTGTCCCTTGGACAACACCATGCCACCTTCCTCGCCAGGTATTTCCACGCGGCAGACCCGAAGTGGTCTTCCCACTCTGCACAAAATTTGAAGGCTCTCGCCGAGTCGCACAGCGGTCTGGCGTTTTGGCTCGATGTCCACGATTAGGTTCGATTTCGATGCTGCAACCAAGAGAATGAATAATTAGACTCCCTTTCTCTCTCTCGTAAAAATTTTCAGGCGAAACAAAGAGACACGTTGTGAATATATATTATAAAATTTCTAAAAAGACTATCTCCAAGTCTCGGTCTCTTTTCATCGACGAGTTGATTTCCTTTTTTCCTCAACTTGTCGAATTACTGCGCGAGAGAGGAGGATCGAGATAGCACAACAGTTTCTCTTAATCCCCGCGCGTTACACGGTACATTTCTTACCGAGTTTCGTACTTACGGGTACTTACTCGCTTCAGAGAATATTCGCCACAATTTCGGCGCGTGGCTTTCGTAATTTAATCGAGCAACGTAACGAAGACACACAGACACACAGCGGTGTTTCAGCGTGGAAACGTGGCAATAAGCTCGGTCGTTTTTAGCTATAGAATACCTATATATTCGAGTGTCTATTTGCACGTGAAGTACTCGCGGAGTTCTCGCGGTGGATCCGCGACGACGGGTTTAACGGGTTAACGCGGGGTGAAAATTTACGGGCGCGTGTCCGCTTTCAATGGCTCGTAACTTGTAATAATCAAGGAGATGCGCGTCATAAAAGCGCGCCTTCATCGGCTACGTGGGCGACGAAGATTTAATACCGGCGTCACCTTGAAATTGCACGTCATCCCACGATGTTAATATTAATCTTCGCTTCGACTCGTTGCACGACGTAATAATCGTCGCCTGTCGTCGTGAGAGGGGCGTGCCACGATTTTCGAACTGTTTGCGAGGGCGTTCCGCGCCATTCGACACCTCGTAACGTATCGTAAAGCTTGCAGAAGACGTTTCATTTCGATGCGAACGAAACTTGCACGAAATACGCACGTGTATGAAAACGTTTTGTATAATCTCGTATATTTTTCTTATATTTCTCATTCACCCTTTTTTTACATTCTGTTACACTCATCCGAACTTCGTGAAATTGATATCTTTAATCTTAAAATTTTTGATTTAATCGTAATCTTTATATACCCTTTACACATTTTTATATCTTAATTCACTCCCTTTTGTACGTACGCACATTTTCAGACCTCTTTCCTTTTTTATTTCTATTTCGCAATTCCAGTTCTTCCACTGTCTCTTATCTCAAAACGCAGGCTTTTACAATAAATTCGTGGAAACGTTTCTACTTGCCGCTGCTCTAATAAATAGCTTCTTCATCCGTTATAATTCCTCAAAGACACTGTGAAAATTCTTCACTGCCCTAGCAGTGATTTTATTTATACTCGTCTACAAAAGTGGTTTGCGAAATTCCCCGCAACAACGGCACATTTGCTAGGATTTTTATCCTGCTTCGATCCTTATTAATAAACGTCACCGTGTTATTCGAAAATGCGAGATATTTAACTCTCGCGTCAATTTGACACGTTTCTCTTTTAAAGTGTCAAATGTTTCCAATTCAGGAGATAATTGCACGGAATGTTTCAAATACGTATAAGTCTCGCAACAGTGCTAATAAATATCGAAAGTGTTCGAATTTATTATATGCAAAAATACTTAAATTTATCGCCGTTGCAATGGAATTATGTTCTCAAACGAGAGTCCGGATCTTTTTGAGCGATAGATACCTTTATTACCGATTTATTGGAGATTATACGGGGTTCCATCTTGCACGGCCGCCTCTTTTCCCCATTATTTGCCACGGATTAACGTGGAACTCGTAGCGCGATCGTTCGTGTAAAACAGCGCGGGCGAGTTTCGAAGGAATTTCCTTTTCCCGCCTTTTTCTTCCGAAACTTTCCCCCGTAATTGCACTGGTATGTAATGGATAACGAGAACTGGCCTGGCCGACAGTTTCGCGTGTATCGTAAATGAACAAAAGTTTTGGGCGCAGAAAGCAGGGCGAAGTATCGAGCTGTGTCAGCGAAATGCTCAGAAAACTGACGAAAGAAAGAAAAGGGGGGAAACGTGAGAAGCCATTTCGTCAGAAGCTACATTCTCAGATTGATTTTGACCCTCTGCTTTTAAACAGCAATTTTTGTAACAGCATTGTTACGGAAACTGTTGCGAATGACGAGTGACGAGTGAGATTTGGGAGTGTCGGATATTTAATAAAAATTGAGCTTGAATGTCTTTTCTTTTACGGGACTTGGATTAGAAATGCAGATAATTGATCTTTCGAATAGTTAAAAAAAAAAGAATGTCTTTACTTCTTGCATATGTATAATTGGCAGTAATTTTGAAGGAACGCAGAGTTCTGGTCGATCAAGTGTTTTCTTGATAATTTATGTTAAACGTATAAATATAAATGTCTATATTTTACGATTTTATATGAACACATGGATTCAATAAGAATTAGAACTTGCATATCCCCATTGTTTTTGGAAATATATACATATATATATAAAGAAACTTTATTAACGATTATGGTAATAATTAATTTTTATGTGTCTGGTAGGATGTCGGAAATTTCAGGAACGCTTCCACCTGTTCTGAATAGAATCATACATATTTTTATACACTAATCGATACAGCTCGACAATTTCTATTTAAAAATGTATTGATCTAACGTTGAGAAATTATTAGCTTAAAAGACATTTCAACTACAATTTTATAACATCTATTGCAATAAGTTCCCATTTTTCCCCGTCTTTCACACGATTCTACAAAATTTAAATTAAAAATATTGCCCGAAGTAATAATTTTTCAATATACATGTACAGGTTGCTGCTGTTTATTCATAAAGAGTTTCGGCCTGTGCCGATTAATAGATTGAAAAATATACGATTTCATTCGAAAAATTAATCTCGAAATATAAATCTGCTATAAAAGAATAATCATATCACAGTCCTCTCTATACTGAACAACTTTTGTTACAACAAAACTTCTCCAAAAAAAAAAACAACGGAGATATTCAATTATTGGACTATTCTGTAGAATTCTCGATACTTTAGATTGATTAATTCGTACGAATAACCAAATACCTATGAATGAAACATATTTCTTGGAAATATATATATAAAGAAATTTTATTAACGATTATGGTAATAATTAATTTTTATGTGGCTGGTAGGATTGAAGTTTTTTGTTTTCAGCAATTAAATATTTGCTGTTATGAAACGAAGTAGCTGACGAATAACGTACAAAAGAGAGAAAGAGTAATCGAATGACGGTTGAATAAAAAAAAAGACGGGCTCTGTCTTTTCCCGATTACCGTTCACCGTTACGTGTAACATCGCATTTTCGACGGAACGGAGTATAAGAGCGTTTCAACATTAAAAGAAAATCAGATTTCCTAGGGTTTTCCTAGTTGCATTAGTTCGTTATAAGCAGCCGCGCGTTGACGTCTGCAACCGCACGGCGAAAAACGAGAAACAAGGTTACGAGCGACTGTTCTACAACAAATTAAATTCTGGAGAAAATTGGTTCATTATCCGCGCGAACGTTGCACGGTGTAATGCAGTTTGTTCCTGAAATCGAGTGAGAAACCGCCGCCGGTAGAAACGTGGCCTTGCGAATTTGTTGCAACTTCCTGTCGAGATGGATCGAAATATTAGATTCCTCTTTATATTTAAATAAAACTCGCTCCCTGCGGTTTCCCAATTATTTTGCAGATTTAGTCTTTTGATGGAATTACCGCTGCTGCTCAAAATTGATATTTCACCGATACGGTGGTGTATATACTAATTGCGAGAGTGTTGATAAAAATAATATTGCATCCCCGCGTGGATTATATCTAAATGAATAATATTATTTAATATTATTAATATAGTTAATATTAAATGATAATATTATTTAATATTATAATATATTAATATAATTTAATATAATTAAATAATAATATTAATATAATTATTAATGATAATAATATTAATATAATTTATTATTTTTTTATATTATTTAAATGAATAGTAAAATAAAAAATTAACAAAAAATAAAATAATAATCAGATATAGAATATTAATAATCAGACATAGAATATTAATAATAATAATATTATTATAATTTAATATTATTTATTATTTTTTTATATTATTTATGAATAATAAAATAAAAAATTAAAAAATAAAATAATAATCAGATATAGAATAAAATAGAGTTTCTCTATTTTACGAATCACCAATATGTGTTGTGTAAAACATTTTCTCTATTTTACGAATCACCAATATGTGTTGTGTAAAACATTTCCAAGTTTTATTGGTAGTCTAATGAAACATGTTCGTCTATCTAAATCTGTCCGAAAATAAATACATTGCAAATAGATGTTTAATAAAAAAAAAGTAACATGCAGCGTGAACAATATAATACAACGAATATTAAAAATGATCTTTGCGAAATATGGTACTAAAACTATCCTCCATGTTTTACATAGTATATTTGACTAACACGCCACAGTCTTGTCTCATTATAAAGACACGCAGTCGAATTTCAAAATATTTCACACGATACATGATACATTCGTAAGTTCACCATGTTTAGTTTATTATGAATAGCGTCGTATTCCAAGAACTCGTGAAGGGAAGAGCGATACCGATACCGAAACAGGGTGTGGCAAGTCGCCAGTCGTGACCTAGATCTCTTAACGAGCGTGTCTGTCATGTGCGAGCAAACATCGATTCTTCAACTTCTGTCGAAGAAACACACTCCTCGCACAAGCATCAATTATCAATTATTGTAAAAGTGTTTTTTCACTACATCATCGCACTACTTTTTCACTACATCATCAGCGCAATGCCGAGAAAACTTTCACGAATTACTTCATCGTATGCTATTTTTCGAAGAATCAAGACAACGAAGAACACGAGGAAGTGTTTCTCCAAATTTGTATCACCACGTGTCGCTTTGTCACGTTGGAACATCACAAAAAGAACCTAACGAGCATCTGATTTGCCTGGCAAAATAAAGTCTCGGCCAGCGACACTTTGGGATGACGAACGCCTTCAAGAAGAACAATGTACAGGCCGATACAATTCGTGGGTAGTTGTTATTCGATGCGTCAAGACAAGATGAAATATGATAATCGTTATTCGCGCCACGCCCGGTTTA